ACACTTCTTCGATCTGATGTTAATCTTGGTAGTGCAATCACCATCTACATCAAGGCAGCCAAAAATGATCCATTTCGGCGTGGCCACACACTGACTAAGTCTCATCTGACTCCTCGGACTGCGCAGTGCAAGCTTACCACAAATACATTGAGGCAAGTACACGTACCACTTTCTCCCAGCATGCACCAGCATTCCAGTTTACCAACGGCTCATATGTAACACGTCAAACCATCACCGACTCAATCAGAACCCTCCTCATGCAAGAAGGGAACCCAAGTGCAGAGAAATACTCATCACACAGCTTTCGTGCTGGAGCCGCCACAACAGCCGCCGAGGCCAACCTTCCCGACTGGCTCATCAAGACCCTTGGACGATGGCACAGTGACTCATACCAGCTCTACATTAAGACTCCAGCCACAATCCTTCATGCAGTGCCAAGGATCCTCGCCAACCACACCGAACCTCAGAACTAAGCCAACCAACTCACAATGTTTTTCAAACAACGCTATTAAGACATTCTATTCTTTTGCTGGCTCTGCTTGTATTTCACTTGCAATCCACACTAGTCATTTTTACATTTACCAATCGTCTCCAATCAACATTATAGATCTTTTGTTTCAATTGTTATTCACTTGCAATTTTTATTCGTAATTTTACTACATTGTAATTCCTGCTCTGTAACCATGTACTCGTACCCCATGAAGACTCTCCACATTCTAGAACAAGCGATGCTTGCCTCACCACATCATGCGAATTGTTCAATTCCACCACCTCCTCTTTAATTTAGGGAAAGTGCCGCACAGAGCATGCTGGCTCTGGTCAGGTACGACGTTGCCCTTACCATGAAATGAGTCAAATATATCTAAGTCTCCTGTCATGGGGTCGGCCGCTACGACGCCTGATGCAGAGCCACTGTGCCGGCAGGTGTTACTCAGGTAGCATGCGTCGCCACCTCATAATGACACTCAGTGGTTTTGAGGATCACTATGAGGTGACACGTGACGACGCCAAGTGTGACATTCACTTCCCCCACTTCAAACGGCAATCCTGTCTCATGTGTCATTTCTTAGCATTAACACAGATTTAAAGACAAAAACAAGTGTCAAGGATCTTGGACCTGGTTTTCAACAAGATATCTACAGTCATTTGTGATGATTGGCAAATCCTCGCAAGTAAATGGCATTACTAAATGCCTTGTAGAGCCAACAAACTTGATATGGTATGGTAAAACAGTTACCATTTATGAATTACACTGTAAAATAATTATAGAAATAATTATAGAAATGCTCCAATGCTCAGTTTTACTTACCATGATAATATCTTCTATACCTACAGAATTAATATATTTGGATGTATTTTTTATTTCTAGTAAGTCATTCACATCATGCTTACATAATTCATACATCTGCATAGCAACCACATGCTTCACACAAGTATCTACAAATCAATGACAAATGAACCAGAAATCAATATAGCAATGGTTTGGATTACTCAGATACTGGTATTACAGACAACACTAATGAGACACTATAGTCACAACATTTCAAAACCTTGTGAAGCAATTAGCCGTCGCTTGAACA